TTCCCCTTCCCCTCCCACTTCCCCTATTCATTTAGGCATTTACTTCCTATTTCACAATATCAGTTATACATTTTGATTCTTATTTACACTTTTAGTTTTTCACACCAGAGAAACTATTTGGTATTTACACGTGTGTCCTATTTATTTCACTTAAGAGTATCACCTCGGGCCAGGAATTTAGCTCAGTGATTCCGCTGCTTGCCTCGCAAGCACAAGGTGCCGAGTTCAATCTCCAGTACCAAAAAAAAAAGTATGGCCTCAATGTGCATCCATTTAGCTATAAATGTCTCTAGTTTCTTGTTCTTTATGGCTGAGTAGTACTCCATTTTATAGAAAAACCACATTTTCTTCATCCAGTCTCCAGTTGATGGGCATTTGGGCTGTTTCCAAGCTTCAGCTGTTACAAACTGTGCTGCTATGAATATGAGTGCACATAATTCACTGGTATGATTCTTTTAATTCTTTTGGGAAGATACTCAGTAATTGGTTTGTTTTTTTTTTTTTGAGGGTCTGTCTAAGTCATTAAATTGCCCAAGCTGGACTCCAGCTTGCAATCCTCCTGCCTTAGCCTCCCAGAGTGTTAGGATCACAAGTGTGCACCACTGTGTCTTGGTAGCTTTTGTATTTTTCACAAATACATTTTGCTTTAATAATTAAAAGAAAAATAATAAGTTCACCTGTTTGTATATCTCAACACCATGCCTTTAGCTCCTCCGTGTCCTTTTTTTTTGGTACTGGGGATCGAATTCAGGACCTTGGGCTTATGAGGCAGGAGGCAGAACCACTGAGCTAAACCCCCGGCGCCCTTCTCCGTGTCCTTTAATGAAAGAACTCTTACATAGGCTTTGAAACCCAACTCAAAGAGGCTCTTAGTGGCTCTTCAACCAGAGAGATAGCACTCCCTACACTTGAGTGGCACCTTATACTACTCTATACTCTATATGCTCTGTACACTCTATACTTATACTACACTCTGCTCACCAAAGGGGGCCAGATACCACCATGTAGTTAGCTGAAAAGGTGATGTATATTCGTGTTTAGGTCATCTATACTCCGTGCCTTTACCACAGTTCCTTGTTTTAGGCTGGCTGGTGTGATGGTCCACACCTGTGATTGCAGCTACTCAGGAGACTGATGCAGGAGAATCAAAAGTTCAAGGCCAGTCTGGGCAATATAGCAAGATGCTGTTTCAAAGTAAAATTTTAAAAAGGGAGAAGGGTGCAACTCAGTGTTAGAGCATTTCCTTAGCATGTGTGAGGCCCTGAGTTCAATCCCCAGTACTGCAAAAGAAAAACAGAAAGGTGCTTACTAAACTTTAGTTGAACTGTTTATGTATGTTTAGTTAGGAAGAACTTAGTTTCTTTTTTTAATTTTATTTTCATTAGGACATGTTTGCAGTATCTAATAATTATATTCATCATGGGAAGTTGGTACATGTATATAACACACCTTAATTCTCTTTACATCCCCTTCCCCTCCCTCCACTCTTGGCACTCTTCCCATTTGCAAAACACCTATCTCCCTGTTTCCTATTACCTGTCTTTTATTTCACTTTTTATTTATACTTGGGTTTCTCATAAAAAGATGTAATATTTAAGCTTCTTTGTCCAACTTACTTCACTTAGCATTATGGTCTCAAAGTGCATCATTTTCCTACAAATGACTCAAATTTATCCTTTATAGGAGAGTAGTACTCTATTGTGTATAAATACCACATTTTTTTGTCCATTTAACTGTTGATATACATGTAGACCCATTCCAACATGTAGTACATTCAAACATGTACTATAAACATGGGTATGCATGTATTACTGTAATATGATGTCTTTAACTCTCTGAGAAGAAGCCAACAGGGTGAAGATTTAGGTTAAATGGAATTCCTATTTTTTAGTTTTTGGACGAATTTCCATATTGGCTCTACTAGTTTACATTCCCAACAGTACAGAAGTGTTCCTTTTTTCCTATAGCCTCGCCAACATTTGTTATTTGATTTCCAGGTGATAGCCATTCTTTCTGGAATAAGATAGAACCTCAGTATTGTTTTAATTCCATTTCTTTAATGGCCAGAGAGGCTGAATGTTTTTTCATGTATTGGCCATTAGTACTTCTGAGAAGTATCTGTTCCATTTCAGTTGCCCACTTTTTAGTTGACCCTTTATTGCAGGGCCTCTATTTTTAAAAAAATTTTTTTAGCTCTTTATATATTCTAGATATTAGTCCTTTGTGCGAGGTATAGCTGGTAAAACTTTTTTTTCCCATTCTGTAGGTTATCTCTTCATTCTCTTTGTTTGTTTGTTTGTTTGTTTGTTTGTTGAGATAGGGTCTTGCTATGTACTTCAGGCTGACCTTGAACCCACAGCAGTCCTACCTCAGCCTCATGAGTAGGTGTGTACCACCGTGCTTGGCTTCTACAGTTTATAGGTTCTCATAGTATTTATTAAGTCTTCTGCATTTTGGCAGTGCCATTGTGATTTTTTCCTTTTTCCTAATTGCACTGATTTGGGTCTTTTCTTTCTTTTTTTTGGTAAGATTGGTTAAGGGTTTGTCTATTTTGTTTATTTCAAAGAACCAGCTCTTAGATTCCTTGAATCTTTGTATTTTAATTTAGCCTCAATTTCATTAATTTCTTTGTGATCTTTATAATTTCCTTCCTTGTACTAGCTTTGCATTTGGATTGTTCTTGTTTTTCCAAGGCCTTGAAGTGGATCATTAGGTTTTTTATTTGTGCTTGCATTGTTTTTCTGATGTTGGCATTCAAAGCTACAAACTTCCCTGTCATAGAACAGCTTTCATTGTGTCTCATAGGATCTGGTATGCTGTACTGCCATTATCATTTAATTCTAGGAACTAATTTCTTCATTGTTGTTGTTGTTTTACCAGGGATTGAACTCAGGACCTTGTGCTTGCAAGGCAAGCACAGTGCCACTGAGCTAAATCCCTGGGCCTTCTTCTTTGATGATTTCTTATTTGACCCATTGATTATCCAAGAGTGTATTCTCTAATTTCCACGTATTTGTGTAATATCTGTGGTTTCTTTTGCCATTGATTTTCTTTCTTTTTTTTTTTTTTGGAGACAGTCTTACTATGTAGTTCAGACTGGCCTTGAACTCACTATGTAGCCTAGGCTGGCCTTGAGCTAGCAGTGATCCTCCTGCCTCAGCCTCCCAAGTGCTGGGATTACAGGCGTGCACCACCACACCCAGCATTGCCATTGATTTCTAGTTTAATTGCACTATAAACTGATAACATACATTGGATAATTCTGATTCTTTTTTATTTAAGCATGCTTTATGGGCTAGTTAGTATGTGATCTGTTTTCTATGTGCCACTGAGAAGAACGTATATCTATTGGGTGGAATGCTCTGTAGAGACCTATAAGTCCATTTGTTCAAAGGTATGGTCCAACTCTAATATTTCCTTGTTGATTTTGTTGGCTAGTTGATCTGTTTGTGATATTGGGCTTTGAGTTTCCCCCGCTATAGTTATGTTTATCTGATCTTTTATGTCTAGTAATATTTGTTTTACTAAGTTGAGTGTACCGGTTTTGAATGCATATATATTTATAACTGTGATCTCTTCCTGTTAAATTGTTCCTTTAACCAATGTATAGTGACTTTCTTTGCCTCTTCTGATCAGTTTTGGCTTGAAGTCGACTTTGAAAATAAGACAGCTACTCCTGGGCCAGGGATTTAGCTCAGAGGTGCGGCTGTCTGCCTTGCAAGTGCAAGGTCCCGAGTTTGATCCCTGGTACCAAAAAATTAAATAAGCAGGAGTAGCTATCTTTTTATTTATTTATTTTGGGAGCCTATTGATGGAATCTTGTTTTCCATCCTTTGAGTTTTAGTGTATGAATCTCTTTTTGGATTAAATATGTTTCTTGTATATGGCATTATGTTGGGTTTTGGGTTTTGATCCAGTCTGCCAATCTGTGTCTTTTGACTGGGGAGTTGAGACTAATCACATTGAGAGTTACTACTGAAAGGTATTGACTTATTTCTGACATTGGCTTGTTTTCCTGTTGCTGGCTCCTTTTTTTCCCTCTTCTGCTTAACTGCTTATCCTACCTGGTATATTCATTCCCTTACAGTAAATCTTCAACTTACAAATATTAGAGTTGTGAATTTTCACAGATATGGAGTTCACATTAGGAATATTCATAGATATGAACAAATTGAGGAAGTAGCTCATGTCTCTACCTTAGCATTTTAAAGTAACTGAAAAGTAAAAATAGTTTATTTACAGTACTTTTGTGTTTGGTTTTTTTATGATTTACATTTCATATTTGTGTCAAAGGTGTATAAGACTCATTTTGTCAGACTTACAAGCAAGTCTGATTTACAAACATTGTCCTGGAACAGAACTCATTTGTAAGACAAGGACTTACTGTAGACTTTTTGGCATTGTTGGCTTCATTGTCTCTGGCATATCCCTGATAATTTTTGGAGTGCCAGTTTGGTGGTTGTGAATTATTATTTCTTCCTTCTTCTCTTCCTCCTCCTCCTCTTTTTCTTCCTCCCCTACTTCTTCTTCTCCTCCTTCTCCCCCTCCTCACCCCTCATGGAGCCTACACTGGCCTTGAACTTGCAGCAATCCTCATGTCTCAGCTTCTCAATCTGAGATTGAAAGATACTATTTCAGGATTCATCAGTTTGGGTTGTTTTTTCTTGAGGTTTGAAACACTTCAGTCCAAGCTCTCCTAGCATTAAGGTTTGTGTGAGATATCTGCTGTACTTCTAATAAATGTATCTTTTTAAGTGATTTGTTGCTTTTCTCTAACTGCTTTTAAGATTTGGTTCTTGTTGGGCCAGGGATTTAGCTCAGTGGTTTCAACGCCTGCTACGCAAGGGCAAGGACCGGAGTTCAATACCCGGTACCAAAAAAAAAGATTTGGTTCTTGTGTTGGACTTCTGGAATTTTTGACTATGATATGTTGTAAAAAAGTGTAGTTGCTAGGTAATATTCATTAAGTGGGTATCAAATGGGGATCCAAGTCATGTAGCAAGCATGCATAGAACAAATAAGGATTTCCAGGAAGGGACAGGTCAGGAACCTTTCCTGTAAGAGATGGGTTAAGGTCTTGGTCCCCCACCCAGGTGATAGATACCTATTTAGAATACCAGTTACCACTGTTCATCCCTAGGGGAAGTATGCAGGTGTAGTTGGTCCTTTTTTCTTGAAGCCTGACCTTCAGTGAATGTGTCCCAGGCCACTGTTGTCTCTGTTGACTCCCTGGAGAGCCTAGCCCTGCCTAACTGCCTATAATAGATCTCATTAACTTAGCTGCTACAATAATGACACACACCTGTAATTCCAGCACTCAGGAGGCTGAGGCAAGAGGATTGCCATGAGTCTGAGGCCCCACTGTCCATACACCCCAGGCTGTGGCAACTGTGTATCTTTGATCACACCTCTGAGGTCTGTGTTAGATGTTGGCTACAGGGCAGGCAGTTTGCTGGACCTGATGATGCCAGCTCTTTCAGACCCAGGCCCCTCTGAAATCCATACATAACTGTCCTGGTTTCTCAACTCAGATTAGGGCCTTTGTGTTCTTCCCAGCCTGAGTTTAAACTTCTCAGGAGTCTGTGTCTAGCCACGCCCTCTTCACAGTTGTCTTTTGTTGACATCTCCCTCCCAGTCATTGTGGTTGTTCTGTATCTCAGTATTACACAGTTGACTCCTTCGTAAAATGGCTTCTAATTAAACCCTCTCAAATATGATGGGCACCACACTAGATTTTTTCTCCAACTCCAGCCTGCCATGCTGAAAGAGTCACTTTCTAAGTAAAACTCCACACTTTTTTTCTTTTTTTGAAGTTTACAATAGCTATGGACTTTTCTTGGGGCTAGCGCTGCTAGCCCAGTCTGTTATTTCTTCCTGGAGCTGTTGACCCTCCCCAGGCTTACCTTGTGTCAGTGGAGACAGATCCCCTCCTTAGAACCTGGGGTTAGTGGCCCAACTGCTTCATTCTTTTCTCTATGTTGTGTTCCATTCCTCCACCTTCTCTGTAGTTTTCAGTTTTCCTGTCCGCTTCTTCCTGATTCTAGAAAGAAACAAGGACACCTCCAGTGGAGATAGGACAATAGATTTGGATCTGTTCATTAGGCAGAGTTGCCATGACCCCTTTGCTGGTGTTTTTAGGAAAAGTAGCCTAACCTTTATTAAACCTGATGATGAGCTAGTATAAACACAATCTTGATACCCCCTCTTCCCTCTCCTCTTCCTCTCTCTCTCTCTCTAGCATAGGACATTTTAGCAGTATAGACTGGGAACCTTACTTCTTGGTACACTAGTTTCATGTGTTGTAACAGTCTCTGCATATGTAAAGTCTGTTTCTTTTAGCACTTTAGATATAAACTGTGAGCTTCCCTTTAGTAACACTTTACTCATTGATTACCACGGTAAAGATATGAAGTTGCAAATAAAGCAGGTGAATTCTAAACCAAATATATACATATAATTATAGGAGGGTATATTCAAATATATTTTGTATTTAAATGGTATATATACCTATATATAAGTGTAGTTGTAAAAATATATGTACATTTACATATACATAATGTATTTATGTAAGTACTTTATAAACTTAACATATGTTGAGTATAAGATGTGTTATGTGTATTACACATAACTATATTTACATAATACATATATTTTGCTTTTTTTTGGTACCAGGGATCAAACTCTGGACCTTGAGCTTGTGAGGCAGGTGGCAGAAACACTGAGCTAAATCCCTGGCCCTATATTTTGCTTTATAATGTTAAAAAAGTATATTGGCAAAGGAAAAGATTAGATTTTCATAAAATACGTTTTTATTTAAAAAAGGTTCCTTGCTGTATGACAAAGTATAAATCTCAGTCTTATTTGAAAATTAAGGCACTAAAAATACATAATTATAATCTAAAATGATGGTACCCTTATTATAGAGACAAAAAATAAGGAAATAAAGGTGTCAAATGTGAGGGACTAATTGGTTTGTACAAATCTTAAACAAGAACTAAATTCAAATTGACAAAATTAGATGGTGCTTGACAACAAACATTGTTCGGTTCTAGGCCATAGCATCTCTGTTAATTGTATTCCTAAAATTTCTGGGTTATTAGCTAGCCCTTTCAGATATATGCAATAATCTGGATTTCTGAACATTTATTTAGATTAAAAAATCCTTTTAAACAATAAAATTTAATCTCTTAGTCATCTGTCTTAAGTTAACCCTGTATTTGTTTTGTGGTAAGATGAATGCCCACCATATATAAATATAAAAGAAAGCAGAGTTGGAAAAAAGAAGGGAAATAATATTAAGAAACCAGGCAGAGCCAGGTATGGTGATGCACACTCGTAATCCCAGCATTCTGGGAGGCTAAGGCAGGGGGATTGCAAGTTCAAGCCTAGCAAGGACAACTTAGTGACTTTGCTAAGTTGACCCTGTCTCAAAAATTAAAACAAAAACAGGGCCGGGGATTTAGCTCAGTGGCACACACCTGCCTGGTCAGCAAGGTCCTTAGTTCAATCCCTGGTACCACAAAAAAAATTTAAAAACTAAAAAACAAGAGGGTTGGGGATATAGCTCAGTGCAAAGGCCCTGGGTTCAATCCCAAGTACTGCAAAGGAAAAAACAAAAAAAGAAGGAAAGAAAGGCAGGTCAAAAGCTGCATGATCATTGTGATACTATGTGATGATTAAATAGACTGATTGGCTGATTTTTGTCCACAGTTCCTGGCTCATAGCTCTCTCTCAAGGCAGGCCATAGAAACTAGAATTTCTCATCTACTAGGCAGACATAAAAACTAAAAATATATTCTCAGCTTCCCCTGTGTTTTTGTTTCAGAGCTGGCCGTAAAGGCATCCTCTGACCTGCTTTCTCTGGCAGTTAGTAGGACAGGACACCTGGTGGGATGGAGACTGCACACAGAACAAGAGGCCTGGCCCCGTCAGCATTGGATCACAGACTCTGTCCAGCCACGTTTCTGAATAGCTGTCTCTGCTCGGTCACTTCTGTAATGAAGTCTCCATGCAAAGCCAGAAAGGGCAGCGGTCCTGGCAGGTGGCACCCAGAGAAGAATGGCAGCTCCTTGCCCTTCCCATAAGCCTAGGCCCATGTATCGCTTCATCTGTGCCCTTAGTAACATCCTTCGTAATAAACTGGGAAACAAGCATTTTTCTGAGCCCTGTGAGTCACTCATTGAACCCCAGGAGGTGGTGGTGGTAACCTGGTGCATAATCTGAGGCTTGTGGCTGGCATCTGAGTGGGAGTAGGGGCAGTCTTGGGGACTGAACCCTCAACCTGTGGAACATGACACGTGTCCAGCTGAACAGTGTCAGAATCAGATTGAATTCTGGGACACCCAGCTGGTGTCACCACAGAGAAAAGCTCCTTTGCACCTGGTGCCAGAAGTTACCTGTCTGTCATGAGAGTACAGTAGGAGAAACTGAGCTAGAGTCATCAGAGTAGAAAACTAAAAGCAAGACACAGAAGGCAGAAATACAAAGAAAATTTAGTGCCAAGAATAGTAAAGAACCTGTTTCTCTGCTCAAAGGGAGTAGAAGTAAAGTTACCTGTCACCTGAGAGCAGAAGTAGGGACTATCTGCTGATGAAGCATAGTGAAGGGCTGCTGTGACAGCCGACCACAGGGGCAGAATAGCAAAAATGCTTTTATTTTAAATTTCAGGAAGGCTATATTCACTGGGGTGCCACTCCAGCAGGCAGCAATCCTGGGGCCCAGACCTCTTCCTTCCTGCCTTCTAAGGACACAGGAGAATCACTCCTGAGTGGCCTTAGGGTTGCTGTGCTCATTGGTCAGAATGCAAGGGAAGCCACAGAAGATGGTTTGGCTGTGGGCCCTCAAAGAGCAATCAGGGTTTGACTAACATTTAACAGTCTCTTTTGCAAGGTGATTTGAAAAGTAGTGTAGCTTCCTGTTAGCAGGTGAGAGACTAGACAGAGAGGAATGGGAAATCAAAACAGGAGCATTCTTGATTTCATAGTTCTACAGCTGACAGTTATCTTTCTTCCATTTCTTTTCTTTTTCTTTTTTTACTTTTTCCCAGCTTTATTGAGTTATAACTGACAAAATTGTTTATATTTAAGGTATACAGCATTGTGGAATGGTTACCACAATCAAGTTAATTAACAAATATTCAACAATAAGGGATCAGTTTATTAATTAGTAGTACATTGACATGGTGCCAAACAAGGGAAGAAAGTGTAGTATAACTAGAGGACAGGCTTTGAAATCACACAAAAGTTTCTTCTGGTTCAGATACTTGCTGTGTGACTTTAACATCTCCTTGGGCCGGGGATTTAGCTTAGTGGTTTCACCACCTGCTGTGCAAGCGCAAGGACCCAAGTTCAATCCCCGGTACCAAAAACCAAACAAAAAACAAAAAAACGACATCTCCTGGTCTCATTTTTTTTATTGTAAGGTGGTGATAATAGCACCTACTTCATAGGGATATTATAAAGATTAGATGAAAGAATGTTCTGGATATTATAAATATTAAAATTAAATGAAAGAATATATTATTTCATTATATTTTAAAACACCTTATTTTACATTTGAAAAATACTATTTTCTATACATTATAGATTATGTTTTAAGGCAAGGTGTGGTGGTTCCCATTTCTTTCTTTTTTTCTTTTCTGTGCTAGAAATGGAGCCTAGGGCCTTGTGCACTACAGGCAAGAGCCCTATAACCCAGCTCTATCCCCATACTGCCTTCTGTATGCTCTGGGTCTCGCATCTCTTGTTCCTATGAAGTAGTATTTCTGAACGGGGGTGTTCGGCAGTGCCTGGAGACGTTCTTGCCCCACACTGCTCAGAACAAAGGATTATGTGGGCCAAAGTGTCAACAGTGAAAGGTTGAGAAACCAGGCTTTGAAGGATGGAAAAAAATCTTTTTAATTTTAAGATGTGACATAAGAGAGAGAATGTTTTATAGAAGTACTGACATCTTCTAAATATCTAATGGAATAGAAAATGGCCATCTAAAGGTAGTTCTTGATATTTCAGGACAGAGTCCCCATGTCAAGTCGAACCTCCTCTCAGGAAGTCTGCAGAGCCTGTGGCGGGCAGTGACTGGCCCTCTCTTTGATTTCCAAGGAGACCCAGCTCAGCAAGGTGGAACTCTCATTTTGGGTCCAGGTAAGCCTCAAAGCCCACACTGGGCTAGACTCTGTTACAAGTCCAAAGGCCACCTGTTCTCCTTGTAAAGTAGATAGCTATGAAAGCAGGAAGCTTGATCTGACAGTCAGAGTGGCCTACTTTTGTAGGAGCATCTTTTGTTGTCAGAGGCTAGGTAGCTCAGTGGAGGTGAGCATTTCTAAATAGGGAGAAAGCATAAGCACTTTCTGCCAGTAGAAGAACCTGTGTAGTTATGATACCTAACAGAACCAGGCAGCTTGCACAGTGAGATGCAAGTCAGTGCCAGGGGCAGCACTTTCAGTAAGAGTCACCATAGGCCTTGTACTTTGAACAGCTTTATTTACTGGTCATTTGGGGCCACCCAAGATTCCTCTGGCTCCATGCTGGTCAGTGTTGAAAGCTGGATCTCCACTGCCTTTAATATTTGGCAGTGCCAGAAAACCTAAATCATTATGTTGTAAGCTAATTTCTCTTGATGATTCTTCCTCTTTAAAATGGTCCACATTATGGCCAGACATGGTGGTGTACGGCTGTAATCCCAGCACTTGGGAGGCTGTGGCAGGAGGATGGCTGCAAGTTTGAGAATAGCCTGGGCTCCATAGTGAGTTCGAGGCCAGCCTGAACTACATAGCAAGACCTTGTCTCAAAACAAACACAAAAAAACCTGAAAATAAATAAAATTGCCCATGTTAGGGAGTATACCTTTTTAAGAGTTATAAAATTAGCATTTACTTAATAAATTACAGATTTTTTTAAAGGAAGGCTTTCGAGGGAAGATTTTGACTATTATCTCAGACTTGTTGCAGCTAGAACTCTAAAGCTACCATCTTCCTTTCCTTCTCTCATGAATTCACATGAGTTAATTTAAAATGAAGTCCTTTGGAGCTAGAGGTATAGGTCAGTGGCAGAGCACATGCTCTGTGGGTTCAATCTCCAGCACCAAAAATAAATAAGCCCTGTTTTATGAGACTGAGCCCCATAAATTTGCCCAGAATGTCACTGAGCTATTTGGGAGGGGTGGTGCTAGGCATAGAACTCCGGGCCTCACATGTCCTGGGCAAGCTCTCTGCCAAAGAGCTGTACCCCTTCCCCCAGCTGAACTTTCAAGTGGTTAATTTCTATCCTCAGACCTAGAAGGGGTTACTTTCTGAACCCCTCAACTTGCACATCTCTGAAACACGTGTCCACACCTTCAGCGGTGTGAGAATAAAAGACACTTGGCATGCACCATCTGTGTGCTACGCTAGGGATACACTTAGTGAAGAGAATGCTTCAGTGCTGCCATATGGGAAGAAAGGCAGCTCTTCCAAAGAAAGGAACTTGCTGCACTTAGTGCACAAATCTGTCGTGTTTAACTCAGTATTTCATTCTCCCTTATTTGATAATAAGCCAATTTACAGTATTGAACCTAATCTCACTATGTCTGGCACAGGAGTATGATATAGGAAATGGGCTACTTTATTGTTTAAGTTAAAACAACAAAGGTTCTGTGTACAAGAGTCAAAGAAAACCAGACCTAGACTATGAATTATAGAAGGATTGTGGACTTCTAACTACACGGTAACTGATTATCTCAATGCCTTAATTGGGAACTCTTTTGGGCTATGGTTATAAAACAGCCTATTAAATCAGTATTTGGGAGTATATTTTGAACTGAATGATTTGTTCCTTTATTATATATATAATATATATATATATAAAATAAGAAACATACGATTTTCTGGCTTGATTTTTTTTTTTTTTTTTTTTACCGGGGATCAAACTCAGGACCTTGTGCTTGCGAGGCAGACACGGTGCCACTGAGCTAAATCCCCAGCCCTGGCTTGATATTTTTGTTAATCCTGTTCTCTGCCTGTCTGACAGGACATTTTATTTAATTATATTTAATAAAATCTAACAGAAGCTTATAATTTAAGAACCTTTCCTCTTGGCTCTCATTAAAACATTAAGTATTACTTTTATTTAATCGTAATCCTTGTCATGTTCTATTGCCATAATTAAAAATTATTATGGCATTACAGAAAGAATATAATGTACCCCAGGTAATTAATTTTTCCCTTTTAGGCTAATTGAAAGGTGAAAAAAACTTCTTTGATTTTAATAAGCAATAAACCTCCTGAATAATACTTAAAATGCAGACCTCAGCCTTTGATTCTTACTCTCTTCTAGGTAACAACATCCATTTTATACACCGCGACAGGAATAGGTTGGATCACAAACCCATAAACTCTGTGTTACAGCTTGTAGGAGTTCCCCACATGAACTTCACAAGTGGACCTTCGATTATCCACGTGTGACTGAATACAGACTCTGTCCCTTGCAGATGGGCCCCTGAGAATGTGACCTGAGTGCCAGGGAGGGGCGTGTTTAGGGTGTGATTTGCCAACTCTTCTCAGCCTTGGAGCTCTCAAAAATGGGATATATATTTAAAATTTTATCACTGTTACAGTTTTATGCAAAATAACTAAATATAAATATACAAAAGAAAATGTTAGGCCCAGGGATTTAGCTTAGTGGTGCTGCTGCCTGCCTGCCACACAAGGTCTTCAGTTCGATCCTGGGTACCAAAAAAAAAAAAA